TTTTTAGTAAAAGTTTAGTCATCATTTCATTTAAAATTCTTCCACTTGCACTAAATGTTTGTTCGGATGAGACGGTTGAGACAGGAATAGCGAAAACATCCAAGGCAAGTCTTGATAATACCGGAAAAATACATTTTTTGGTTTTCCAATATTCTAAGACATCAAAGTTGGCTCTTTGTTGTGGATCTACTGGTAACATTTCAGGGGTTGCCAAATATTGTTGAAGCTTATTACTCAATGACTGCATGGAGGACAGTGTATTAGTTGTTGTTGGTGATGGTGCTTCTGAAGAGGAGGTTGTGCTTCGGATTCGGGTCCTCTTCGGCCTATTAAGTGCACTCCAGGACTAAAAGTCTTCATTTGTTTCTTCTGATGCAACTTCCCTGGATATTTCGCCTCTTTGAGGGTTCCCATACCTGTTTTCATATTGAAAATATACATCTGCAAGACAATTTTTTACCTCTCCTAGTTGATTGGCATATGCTTTGTTTTGTAAATTTTCAGTTAATGTGTCTAAACCATTTTCTAAACCTACTAATTTAATTCTAGGATCAAATATACCTAAACAATAAAGAAAAGAAATGGGTTTCCAATATTTTTTTAAAAAAAATTCCATTGTCTTTATTGGTCCCCCTAAAATTTCATTATTTTTGTTTTTTGTAAATAGCTCGGAAATTTTTATAATTGTAGGTATTACCAATGGACTAGTATGATAATACACACTAGAAAGTTGTAAAGTGGATTGGTAAAAAATTTTAAGAAAAGAATGAAATATTTTAGCTATATGCCAATCATTTTCTACCAAATAATGAGGACCTCTATTATTTGCTACAAAATAACTAATTAAATTTGCATAAGGTAAACATGAATCAAGCATTAAATAAGTACTATTCCATCTAACATGCATGTCTAATGCAAAAGTTCTAAGAGACATATTTGATTTTATACAAGCATCTTGAAATTTAACATTTCTTTTATTACTACTAGTAATCCAAGCTAAAGATTCTTTAATTCTATCAATATTATCTTTAATTGTTTTCATACCACTTTTCACGATTAAATTAATAATATGACATGCATAACGTTGGTGAAAAAAGTTCAAATTGTTATAAAAAGGATAATTAATTTTAAAAAAAAAAATCTATTGCTATATTATTAACACTTGCATTATCTAAAGTTAAACTTATCACTTTATTAATAACATCATAATCTTCTAAAACTTCAACAATTTTATTATAAATTTGTTGACCACTATGATCCACATCCATTAATCTAAATCCTAATAAAGATTTATTTAATTTATATTTGTTATCAAAATAATAACTAGTCACACAAATATAATCTTGTTTAGCTTTACCACTCCAAATATTGACAGTTAGAGCCACACTAACATGACAACTATGTATTTTATTTTTTAATTCTAATTTCATTTTCCCAAACAATTTTATTAAATCATTTCTAGTTACAGTTTTAGAATAACTTTTAAATCCTGGAAAAAATGAATTTTTAATAAATCTTTCAAAATATTTATCTTCAGCCATATTAATGGGTTGATCAGTTGCAGCAATATATAAACCTAATTGTTCCCTATATACATCAGAATAATAATGCTAAGTAGTACCCATATTAGTTATTTGAGTTTGATTGGTTTTTCTATTTCCATGTTGAGCAACATGTTTATTAGCATGCCTTTTTAAAGTACTAGTACCATTACCTGAATCAATTTTATAAACATTTCCACAATACTTGCATCTTGCTTTCTTCACTTGAACTCCATTTTCTGTCTCGTAAAACTTATCAAAATGCATCCAAACGTCTGATATGTGTCTGTCGTCGCTTTCGACAGCAGTTGATGAACCCGCTTCAGCTTAAGATGAAGTTGGACGAGGACGACGATTATGAGGACAACTTATAGAGCCACCGGGAGCTGTAGCAGTGTGGGGAGGAATCGGGGGAATATTATAAGGTGTATCAGATTCTGAGACTGGGAAAGCAGGACTATTTGAATCTACTGCATTTATGTTAGTAAATTCAGGGGGGCTAGGATAGTAGTTTCCTTCATCATCAGAATTGACGGGATCGAAATATCTATCCATTGTATTTTAAAAAAAAAAAAAATTGATATAGAAGAAATACAAAAATTAAAGGAGAATTGGAATTTGGAAATATGAATTGAAAATTGCAAAAACTAATAAAAAATAAAATGAGAACAATTGAGCAAATTGACAAACAAAGAGAATAACTGAGAGATTTCAATAGAATTAGAGATTAGAGGAAATGAAAGAATTTGAGATGTGAGAAAATATGAAAGTTTAGGGCCTATTTATAGAAAAAAAATGGGAAACAAAAATGACAAAAAAGACCCCTCCAATTGCTATAAAGCGACTATATTTCAAGGGTAAAATGGGTATTTAAAAAAATTAATTTTTTATTTGTTTTCGGCCAACCCGCCGGGTTGGCGGGTTCTTTCAGAAAAAACAAAACAGCAACCTACCGGGTCGCTAGGTTGCCATATAATAACATGGCCCGCCCAGGGGTTGCATGTGGGTTGGGTTCAACCCGGCCCGCCTATAAGGTGGTCCAGGTTGAACCGTCTTTAATGCGGGCCGATTTAGGGTTGACCCACCTAACCTGGCCTATTTGTTCCACCTTTACCTCTAGTGGGGATCGATAGGTGAGGGATGATGGGGGTTACATGGAGGTGGCTATAGGTGGTGGAGTGGCTAGGTGCAGCTAGTCGCAGTCGCAAGACTTTGTGACGCGAAGGAGAAGAGGGTCGCTGGTGTGGTGGTTTGGCAGAAAAGATAGCACGGGTGAGTTTGGGCTTAGGGTTTAGGGCGTGTTTGTTATTTTTACAAACTGATAAAGTACATATACCCTCTTTTGAGATTCGAGCTTGCTGAAGCTCGCAAGTTGATCAAGCCGAGTATCAGGGAGCTTGATCTCAGTTCGACTCAGTAAACAAGTCACTCGAGCTTTTCTCGAGCTGAGCTACCCCTACGATGATGCCCCTACCATAATCATTATACAAATCAATTCACTTCTGTTAACTTAAACCTCTACGCTCTCCATCTTAGGGCGTTATCAAATTTTGTTTTCATTAACCTTTACTAAAATAAATCAAATTTAAAAAGTAATTTATTTGTATTTTAATATTAGAAGGGAGAATAAAAAAAAGGGAAGATGGGCCACGTGACGCCCTCATTTTTATTAAATAAATATTAAGTTAAATTGTTTCACATTCACCCTTTCTTCTCTTAGTGTTGTCAGAATCAACATTTACACTCCTTAACTTTGGTCCAAGTCAACATCTATACTTTATTATATAGATTATAAGTTGGAGTTAGAAGGAAAGCTAATGACCCTGGCTGGGCCTTCCCTATGTCTGTAGCCACAAATATCCCACTCCTTGCGTAACTGTTGGTCTTTGCTAGAGAATACAAAGAAAAAGTATTTGTAGAGAGTGATTTTTGCTTTGATCTTATCTACACATTTCATTAACATAAACTGAATTTATACAAAAGTTTTGTCCACTGTTACACCTAAACTTGCAGCGGATATTTTACAAACAATGAACCTCAATCATTCAAACTTAACTAAAGTAAGTTATTTTTGTGAAAGTGTAACACTATTCATGGCATGAACACTTCACTTTGAATTTTGCACAATCATTTTTGTTTAAACTTCCAGTATGACCACCTCGTGTTTAAGGTGACCACCTTCTCTTATGCTAGTTATCTGCAGTATCGGGTGAGCACCTCTAAGTCAGAGTGATCACCTCGTATCTGGCTAAAAAATTTTAGTAACACACGTTTTCATAAAAATATAGCGAGCTGTCCTTTTACTTTTTGTGTGGTCCATAACACCTGTCAATTTGTGATGCAATGTGCTGGAAAGTTTTTATTCCATTAAATAGGTGGCATCTAGAATAAAAGAATATGTATCCCATCTTAGATTGTAGCCACATGTCCCTTGCATCCTCTATAAATTAGACCATCTCTTCTACATTTCTAAATCCTGATATTTACTTTGAAATATGTACTAAATTTTTTCTTTGCTTTTGTTAGGTTTCTATACTTAGGTAAAGCTTATAAATACCTTCACTCAAGCACCCAAAATATGTCCTTGCTTTCTACATGTTGTTCGTAGCTGATGTGAGAAGTCTGTTGAGCTTCTTCAATCGAAGTGTGCCTTCGTTCTAATCCTCAAGAGGAGCTCAAGCTCAACCAATTGTTTGGGTGTTTTTGTAGCTAGCTATGGTTGTACGTTGTTTAACCAAAGGGTAGAGATTGAAGTGTTGCAAAACAGGGGGGTTTTGGTAACAAAGGCTTAATCTCAACTTTGTAATTAAATTGTAAAGTAAACCTAGTGGATTAGCTTCATTCTGGACTTGGTCCCATAAATGTAGCATTTTGTCGAACCATGTAAAAATCTTGTTTGTTTTACTTTATGTTTATGTTTAATGGACTCTTAAAATCAACATATCAACCCATTCCGCTTAAGTTTTAAATCATTTGGTAAAGGAATTAAAATGTTCAGTAAGTACATTACATTAAAAGGGTCCTTAATCACCGGCTATATATAAGACTTCTACATTTACCAAAAACTGTCAATATAATCTTTCAATAAATCAGCCTCATTCAACTACTCCCAGACTAGCAACCTTGAGACTTGGCGCCAAAACTTGCAACTTCAAACTAACAAACCTTTCTTCATATTTCTAGCAAAATATCATTAGCTTTAACACTCCTTCTTGATATTTTTGCTAGAAAAACCAAGTTTGAACCTTAGATCTTCAAACTTGGATTTGTTTAGAGCTTTAGTCATTATGTCAGCCACTTGTTCCTCACTTCTGCAATGTATCAGTTCAATTTCCTTACTTTGCTCAACTTCCCTCACAGCATGAAACTTAATTTTTATATGCTTAGTTCGACCATGAAAGAATGGGATTCTTTGCCATAGCAACTGTTGGCTGATTATCACAGGATATTATAGTAGGATCACATTGTTCCGGTTTCATATCCTTCAAGATTTTCCTTAGCCAAATTGCTTGGTTCACAGCAGCTGCTGCAGAGATGTAATCTACTTTTGTAGTTGATTGAGCAACTGTTTCCTACTTCTTGGACAACCAATTGAATAGTCCTAAATTCAAGAAAAACACATAGCCAAAAATGCTCCTCATGTCATCTACTAATCCAGCCCAATCACTATCTGTATAACCGACCTGATTGAATTTTCAGACCTTCTAAACAAAATCCCAAGGTCTACACTTCCTTTAACAAACCTTAACACTCTTTTGACTGCTTTGAAATAGATTTCACTTGGCTCATTCATGAACCTAGAAAAGAGACTGGAGGCATACATGAGACCAAGTCTGGTTGCTGTCAAATACAGCAAGCTACCTAAGCTTCTGTATACAGATTCATCTGCTTTGCTTGTACCATCCTCCTTGCAGAGCTTTTGATTTTGCACCAAAGGTGTATCCACAGACTTGTAATTCTCCATATTAAGCTTCTTTAGAATCTCATTGGCGTATTTCTTTTGACGTACAAAGATGCCATTTGATGATGGATTGATCTCCATTTCAAGGAAAAAGGTTATCTCTCCCAAATCTGTCATTTCAAACTTGTTTTGCATTACTTCCTTGAATTACTGCACTTGATCAGGATTATTTCCAGTTACCAGTAAGTAATCTACATACAAAGAGACCATAATCAAACCATCATCTAACCCTCTCACGTAGAGAGTAAGCTCATTAGGACTTCTTTTATTACGAGCTATTTAGTTGCCAATTTGATTTCTTTTATTTTTGTTTAAATTTTTTATTCTATTTTGCAGTTGATTTTTAGATCCTGAAGAACTTATGCTCAGAAGGTGCTGATCCTAATTCTTACGATTCTAAGATTTAAAGAACAATTAGAAAGTTGAGAAAAGTAATTAGGAGACAGGCTAGCACACAAGAATCCAATTCAATGGCTGATTTGACAAGAGGAGATAATCACGGAAACAATAATGAGGAAGTCCACGGGAATGATGCTGAAGGGGATAATGTGGCTGGTGGAACAGTGGTCACTCAAAAAGCATTGAAGGACTACTCTAGTCATACTATTGAAGGGTGTTATTCTAGCATTAGGAGACCATCAGTACCATTATAGAGATGATACAACATTCGGTACAATTCGCAAGGTTGTCTAGGGATGATCCTAATTTCCATATAGCAAATTTTCTAAAGCTATATGATACGTACATTTAGACATAATGGGGTATCTAACAATGCAATTAGGCTGAGGCTCTTCCCATTCTCTTTGGGATAAAGCTAAAGATTGGTTAATTTCTCTACCACCCAGAAGTATCATTACTTGGAATGAGTTAGTTCAAACGTTCCTGATGAAATATTCCCCATCGGTCAAATCTGCCAAGATGAGGAGCGACATCACTAATTTTTTCCAAGAAGATATAAAGTCACTTTATGAAGCTTGGGAGAGGTATAAGGACCTCTTACAGAGATGTCCTCACCACAAGTTACCAATATGCTCGCAAGTGCAAACGTTTTATAATAGGTTGTTGCCAAATATACAAACTATGATAGATGTTGCAAGTGGGGGAGCTTTGAATAACAAAACACCGGAGGAAGCCTATAATTTGGTTGATGTGATGGTGAGCAACAACTACATGAGGCTTTCGGAGAGAAATTTAACAAGGAAAGTAGCAGGAGTGCACGAAGTTGATGGCTACACTGCATTGGCTGCTTAACTTGCAACCATCCGAAAGCAATTAGGAGTTGCCCTAAAGGTAAATGCTATTGAATCATCTTCTCTAGCTTTTGAACTTTATGCAAGGAACCATTTATCAAAGGATTGTCAAGGAGGGAATCCATTTGCTCAACCGGAACAATCTAACTATGTCAACAATTTTCAATGAGGGCAAGGGAATCCGTACTCTAGCACATACACTCTAGCATGACGCAATCATCCAAACTTTTCATGGAGCAACAACAATCAGCACAAACCACCACCAGCCTTCCAACCTCAAGAGAAGAAATCCAACATGGAGAATGTGCTTACAAAGTTTATGGAGGAATCAGGTAAAAGATTTGGCAATCATGAAGCTTAACTTTAGAAATATGAAGTCTTATTGCAAAATCAATTTGCTTCCATACGGAACCTTAAGACTTAAATGAGACAAATACATAGTATCTTAGCAAGAAAAGTTGAAGGAATGTTTCCAAGTGATACTAAGAAGAATCCAAAGGAGCAACTCAATGCTATCATGCTGAGAAGTGGTAAATAGTTGAAGGAATCAAGAAAAGAAGGAGAAATAGGTCAAAAACTCAAAGTGTAAAAAAGTGGACCAAAGTGACCATGTCGCGGCACAGTGCCACAGCATAGAAGAAACCAGAACCAAGAGTGTCACGACATAGAGGATAGGAGCAAGAGTGTTGCAACACAGTGCCTCAGCACAAGGGCAAAATATGACAAAACTCCTCATGTTGCAACAAATGATGAAACAACCCTTCCGTGCCCTCACAAAGTACAAAAACAGAGATTGGACAAGCAATTTGGTAAGTTTATCAATATGTTTCGAAGCTTACACATAAATATTCCTTTTTCTAGATATGTTGGAGCAACTGCTAAAGTATGCCAAGTTCTTAAAGGAGATCCTTACACATAAAAGGTGGTTTGAAGAACATGAGACAAATATGCTTACTGAAGAGTGTATAGCGCTACTTTTGAAATAACTACTACCAAAACTCAAAGATCTAGGGAGTTTTATGATTCCATGCACTATTGGTAGTTTACATTTTGATAAGGTTTTATGTGATCTTAGAGCTGGTGTGAATTTGATGCCTTTTTCCATTTATAGACCAACCAAAGTTCACCTTCAATTAGCAGATAGGTCCATAAAATATCCTAGGGGACTAGTAGAAGATGTCTTAATAAAAGTAGAAAAATAATTTCTTGGTAGATTTTATTGTATTAGATATAGAAGAAGATGGAGAGATGCCTCTAATTTCAGGAAGACCTTTTCTAGCTACGGGTAGAACGTTGATAGATGTTCTTCAAGGAAAACTAATCTTGAGGGTAGAGGATGAACAAGTAGAATTTAATGTGTTTGATGCTATGAAATACCCATCCAAGGTAGAGTCTTGCTTTAATATTAGCATTGTTGATGGGACAGTGGGTGAACCATTAGAAGAAAACTACCCAAGTCCACCCTTAGAAACTTGACAACTCTAGGATTATGGAGGCTAAAATTGAGAATGAGAGGGTGCATGGTCAATGATTAAAACCTTATGAAGATGGTGGATTTGAAGATGAATGGGTTGCGATTCTCCTTGATGATCCAGATTGAAGAGAATGAAGAGTCAAGCTTACGACTTTAACCAAGTGCTTCTGGAAGGCAACCCAAGTTGTTTATTTTATTTTATTTTGAATTCTCATTCTTTTTCTTTTATTCATTAAATTGTTATTTTTGTAGATGTTAGATTTTAGGTGTGTTTAAGGGTTTTTTTTTTTTTTTTAAATAAGAATAGTGATTTTGTGTTTGTTACTCTAAATTCATAATTTTAATGAGTGATGTGTGTGGCTGATATGGTGCACCATAAATTTCTTTGTTTTGACAAGATTAAATAGCAACAAAGGAATGAAACAAGTTGGTGATCAAATTGTCAAGCGTATTCACTCTTCACTAATTTTCTTTTTCTCTTTTTCCTTTTGTTTACATTTGTACATCGGGGACAATGTAGATTTTTAGGTTGGGGGTAAAGGAAGTTTCTTCCCAAAATTTTCGAATTTATGGATTTATGTGGAAATTTTTTGTGTTTTGTTTTTAATTTTGTTTAGTTTCTTGGATTAATTTGTATGTTGGTGATAGTATTAATATGGTTGCAATAACATGTAACATGTAGAAAATGTTAAATTTTATCTTTACTTAAAAAAATGATTGTGCAAGCTAATTACGTTTAGTTTGAGAGACCCTAATGCTTTGTGGTACAAAGGTTGGTTAGTCTAAATGCTTAGAGAAGTTTCATGTGTAAATTTTTCATTTGCAATCTCAACAAACTCTAGAACTCACTTGAGAATCACTTGAGGCGAAATCATAGGATTCACATTACTTAGGAAATGATTTAGGCTGTTTTTGGATAGATTGAGCCTTTCAAGCCAACCATTTATTGAATTGTCACTAGTTAACCCCTTGAGCCTTTTTAAACACATGTAAGCCTTGTTTTTTTTTCCTTTAAACTTATTAAAACCTACCTTGATTATGAGCCGAAATCACATCCTTGCCCATTTTTTTTAAGAGACTTAATATCCAAGTATAAAGCTTGGGAAGAGAATGTAGACAAATGAGGGTAGGAATTGGTGAGAATTTGTCACAACCTGAAATTATTAAAAGAAATAGGTTGGGGGTTGTGGGGAGTTAGAATGTTAAGCTGGAGTTGTTTGTGCTTTCTTCCTACTATGAAAAAAAAAATTTTTAAAAAGCAAGAAGAAAGAAAAAAAAATTGAAAGAAAAAGGAAGAAACAAATTGATATGAAAAAAATGAGCATTGAAAAGCATTGTAGAGGTGTGAGATTGTGAAGAAAAAGAGGGATTGTTTTAGTGTGGAAAAGAGAAGCTCGAAGAAGGTTGGGTAGATGTTGAGCAAAAAAGGGGAGGTGTATAAATATTTGTTTGATTTAAATGTGACGGAATGAAGATTTAAGTCTCTTATTTTTTTGGTTTTGTTTATTTTCCTTGCCTTTCTTTCATGAACCGATACCCTGGCCTAATGTTACAACCTTTACAAAGATCTATTGATCTAAAATAGTGTGCAATTCTAAATTCGTGGAGAGTGGTTTGAAATGTGAGCCTATGGAGCTTTATTCCATGATTCATATTTGAGTCATAAACTGAATACTAGACATCAAAATTTTGTCTGTGGATGTTATGCATAAAATTATCTAGGTTTTTAGACTAATGGTTTGAGGTTGTATGGATTTTCTAAGGTTGATAACAAAAATGGAATTGATGTTTGCATAGTCTGTGGGTTTAGGTGATTTTTAATTATTCTATTTTGTTATGTGTATATACGATTTTTGAGACAACTTTATGAATTGATCCAAGAATTTTTGTTAGTCTTTGTTTTTATTTTTGGAGTCTAGGTTAAGTTTAGTGTTAATGTTTGTGGGTATCATTGCTAGAAACCCTCGTGAGACTACAACTCATCAAACTAGGGCCGCCTAGGGGTTCAAAGGCTTGTTGCATATGCTAAATGCAACTGTGACAATCTACGGAAGTGATTTAGGATAGTTTAAATATATGTTTTATTTTGTTTTTCATTTTCAAGGTAGAAGACATGTTTTTATCGCTTAGCTTGTTAGAAACTAGCAAGAATCTGGTTGGGGGTTGTGATAAGAGCTTGAAAATACACATTTACTTAGTGGTTTATGGGGATTATTTGTGAGAAATTAAGCTTAATATATGCAATTTAACTTAATTATGTTATAGATGTCTTTTATGGGATCACGGGTGTGTTTGAGTGTTTAGGTTATTAGTGCCAAATGCTAACCTCGGATGAAGAATCATGTCAGCAACAGAATGAGTGATGAGTATAAACAAACAGATCAAGAATCGGA